GTGTAATAACAATAAAAGCATTCCAAATCTAAAGCTGAGTTTACCTTAAACTCGTCAGATTGAAGAAGTCTCTTGGAGAAGAGACAAAAAGTTTCATTAAAGAACCTGAACCTTGTTACATTTTTCTGTCTGGATTATTAAAATACATCCAGGATGCATTGATCCTGTKTTGAAGATACTAACAGACATTCCCAACATGATTGGACAAAAAAAAAAAAAGTGGTAGAAAACTAAAAGCAGGTAAAATGGCTCTAAAATGTGATGCATGGACATTCATTGCTCTAGACTCTTAGGTGACTTGCGCTCAGTATTTTACCTCTTTTATTTTTTTATTTTTTTATGCATCTGTAATAGTTTTATATTTGCATCTCAACCGTTTATATCCTAATAAAATTTAAACGTGAGGCGTCTGAATATTCCCGCCCCCATCTTCTCCCCACAGGATCAGGTCATACAGCTGGTAAATTCTATCTTCAGCAAGAAATCCTGGGACTCTCTGGCCGAGGCCTTCAGTGTAGCCASTGCTGCTGCTGCTCTGTCCAACAACCGCTTCCACGTACCGGTCGTCGTCAGCGCTCTGGGACCTGCCACTGTTTCCCACAACCAGCCAACTTTTCAGGTACGCTTTGAATGCCGGTGCTGCTTATCAGTTCTTGGTGTGTTTTTGTCTTTTTGTGCTCGTCACAGTAACACACTCTGTGTGATCCACAGCTTCTCGTCACTGATGTCATGTCTCAGCCTCTGACCTCAGCCAACGTGCTGGTGGAGTCTGCGTACGCCGTGGCTTCTAAAAGCGCTGTTCTCAGCCAAACACCTTTCACTCTTAATGAGTACGTACAGTCACACAAGTGTTTCAGGATTGTTGGAGGTAATCCCAGCTAAAGGAAAATATACATGAACGTCATTGTTTAGTATTCAAAGCTTATGCAAGAGTTTGCTGAAGGTCTGTGAATATTATTTATTAATGCTACCTTTAACACACTCACGCACTTTATTGTACTCTTCTCTCTGCATTTTAGCGGTGTCTTTGAACTTAACTTCATGGCCAGCCAGCCAGCCAGTGGATATTACCAGTTCACTGTTGCTGTGACCGGGGACAGTCGGCTGGTTGCCAATCATGTTGAGGCAAGTTTCCGCCATGAATTGGTGTTCATATTTATTAATAGTTTCCTGTGTAATACTTGTCATACAGTCGTATTTATTATACACTCAACCAGTTTGATACAGCTTTAAAAAACACATTCGTGTTTCTGGAGAAACTGTGCAGTTTGGTGACGAGCGCCTAGAATGTTGACCCAATAAATAATCTGTGGAATAAAGTAATAAAAAAACAGTTCTTAAATGGAGATTTATGGTGAATTTAGTAAAAAAATTAATTGGAACTGCACTAACATTTTATATAATAACTTTTAAATTTCCTGTACTACGATGTCTGTGGGTTACTACATTTTCTTGTAATGTGTTTCTTTTCAAAGAATAACATTTTTACCTTCATTTCTCTTACAGCTTTAKTTACTTAATTTTCAGTACAAAAAACATGAAAAGCTTCAAATATTGTGCAATTTAATGAAATATTTCTCACTTAATTAGGAACTGTTAGGGAAAATGTATTTTTTTAAAATAAGAAATTCTAAGAATTTCTATTTAACTTTACCTGTATCATATGAGGGTTTTAGAACTGAWGTAAAAAAATCAAAGGGTTTGCTGCAACACAATTGATCTTAAAGTGCCTGTGACATCAATTTTTTAGAATAAATATGAATGTATTTTTGAAAGATAACATTGATAACATATTGTAAAAAGATTTCATGTCGCTGAGATGAACAGTTGTTGAAACATTTACACGTGAAGAAACAGGAAGTGATGTCAAAGGGAATGCTTGATTGTAAACATAGCGTTGCTAAAAYGGCTAACAACAGACTGCAGAGAAGAATCTGATGTTTCTTTAGATTATTTTAATCACTATCATAGAGAGATGAGAGAGTCAGAGTTTAAATAACCTTAAAAGAACAAAAACCAGAGTTTTATTTTTCTAAGAGTTCCCCTTTGATGTCACTTCCTGTTTCGCTTTAGCTGAGCAAAATTCAATAGAAAATATGCCAATTATATTACATAACAGGTCAAATCATGTGACCAAGATCCTTTTAAACAGTACATGTGCCAAGTTTCTTAAATATAATTATATTTTCTTTAACTTTTTGTATTTCCTGTATATGTGTGCCACAGGCACGCTAACGTCTGTCAGTCATCATGTATGGACACTTGGGATACATTGTCACTGAAGGCGTCTTGTTGAGACTTTTTGACAAATTGTTTTTAGATTTTATCTGATCTTTGTCACGTGTGGCTAAAAGTCTTAYTCAAACAAATGACTAATAATAACCACAGCTAGACCGTGCTACATGTGTTGTCTGTTTGGATCAGGACACATGGTGTTAAAGAGGATGCAAACATGTTTGATCCCAATTCATCCTCAGTGTGAGGTCCTTGTATGTGCTTCAGGATACATGTTTAATGCCTGATGTGAATACTGGGTTGTTGAATATTTTAGGGATGAAAATGATTATTTCTCCAGTTATCCTGGCTACTGCTGTAGGTTTGACTCTACTTCCTGTTTCTGTGTTCACCTGCAGCTTAAAGTGAAAGTATCCACTGAGGTGGTTGTTGCCAACATGGACCTCTCTGTGGTGGATAAGGACCAGAGCATTGGGACCAAGACCACCAGGTTAACAAACTAAATCCTTGGAGTCAGTTTTTTGTTTACTTTAGGCCACAGAAAAGTAAAGTCATTTCTTATTTTGGTTTTGATCATCCAGAGTGGAATATCCCTCCAAGGCCAAGAGCTCTTTCACAGCCGACAGCCACCAGAACTTTGCCATGTCCTTCCAGCTGGTTGACGTCAACACTAAACAAGAGCTCACACCTCACCAGGTATGTAATCAGACATGAACTAGCATCTGCAGCAAACGGTCTGTTCTATCTGATTTTATAATCACTCCTGTGACCAAGATCCTTTTAAACAGTATATGTGACTGACCAAGAGAACCATAACCAGCCAGTGACTGTGACAAGTAAGCAAAACCTCTCAGTTGTTTAACGTAAGAGGGAATTATTGTCTCCACCACAGACCTTTGTCCGGCTGCACAATCAGAAAACTGGTCAGGAGGTGGTGTTTGTGGCTGAACCTGACAGCAAGAAACTCTACAAGTTTGAGTTGGACACGGCWGAGAGGAAGTCTGAGTTTGACTCCATGTCTGGCACCTATTCCCTCTCTCTCATTGTTGGGGATGCTACCTTGGAGAATCCCATCCTGTGGAAYGTGGTGAGTGTCTGTTCAGGCTTCGTGTTGCAGTGAGAGTCACTGAAGTGTTGAAGACGAGCTGCCATCTGTTGACAGGCCGATGTTGTTCTGAAATTTGTGGATGAGGAAGCTCCAGCTGCTGCTCAGCCCAAGACCCTTTATGTACCCAAACCAGAGATCCAGGTAATTTCCCACCCCCCACACACCTGTGTGTTTTATGTATTGAAAACATACATGTGTGCGCTTTATGTATTGAAAACACAATACTTGCAGTAGTGGWAAAATCTTGTTTTTGTGCAGCACTTGTTCCGGGAACCAGAAAAGAAGCCTCCAACTGTAGTTTCCAACACCTTCACCGCTCTTATCCTGTCTCCCTTCCTGCTTCTGCTCATTCTGGTAATATTTTCAAATTTGCACAAAAATGGTTTTTGTTTTGCTTATTTATTATTGAAATATCTGAACCAGGTCATAGTATAAATACACTGCCTAGCTCAGAAAAAAGGTCACACACTAATATTTGGTTGGACCGCCTTTAGCTTTGATTACAGCACATATTCTCTGTGGCATTGTTTGGATAAACTTCTGTCACCAGATTTATTTCATCCAGTGTTGCATTAATTTTTCACCAAGATCTTTCATTGATGATGGTGGAGTCTGACCTTCTCCAGCACATCCCAAAGATTCTCAATGGACTGTGAAGCCAATCCATATGTGAAAATGATGTCTCATGCTCCCTGAATCACTCTTTCACAATAAGAGCTTGATGAATCTTGGTATTGTTATCTTGGAATATGGCCGTGCCATCAGGGAAGAAACAATCCATTGATAGAATAACCTGATCATTCAGTATATTCATGTAATCAGCTGACCTCATTCTTTGAGCTGAACCTCGACCTGACCAACTGCAGCAACCCCACATCATAGACCAGGGGTCTTTTTCCTTAAGAGCTACTTTCACAAAAATGAAATTGTCTGAGAGCTACTTTTTTCCAACATTTAATTTTAAACTTAAACCATTRGAATAAGCTTGTTTTGCACAAAAAATCATGTAGACTCCAGTAGGAAGAAACCCCGTGCAGTGACACATCCTTCAGCTGGAGGGTTTCTCAGCTCAGCACAGTGTGTCTCAAGGGGCTATGAAAGGTGTGCGAAAATGAATGCTGAACAACCATACTGAGCCCTAAACTGTTTGATTTTACAACCAAGGGGAACAGACACCTATAGACT